TGGTTCTATGGAGATGATGAAAACGAAACGGATGAGGGTGAAGACGATGACGTTGGTGATGTTGACGAGGATGAGGAGTAGGAGGAGGAGGAGGACGAATACGGTGTGAACGAGGAAGCGGTGGTGATTGTGACACCGATGTGGACGACGATTCTGATGCTGATGCTGATGCTGATGATGATGAGGAGGATGTTGATGATGCAAATGAGGAGGTGGAAGAGCATGCGGGAGTGGAATGTGCTGCCACATCAGCCTGCAGTAATCCCTGTACGTATCCAGAGGAGGGCCAGGAGGTGGACGAGGAAGGAGGGGACGAATACATACGGATGACGGTGCCTCGATGCCATGCTGAAGTACAACAGGGAACGAAGACGGTTGAGCATCCGGATACGGGTGAGGACGAGGGATGTTGGTGAATAGGATGATGATGATGATGATGATGATGATGATGATGATGATGATGATGATGATGATGATGATGATGATGATGATGATGATGATGATGATGATGCTGCTTGATGCTTGCGATTGCCATGCTGGTGGCATCGATGACGTCCATGCTGCTGATGAGGATGCTGATGGTGATGACGACGATTATGACAGTTGGATGATGATGAGGGACATGGTGGATGGGCAGACGACGAACGAGGAGGAGGAGGATGAGGAGGAGGACGAGGCTTATGTTGAGCATGGACAGTGCCAGGAGGGCGGAAGAGTACTGACGGTGAGTAGGAGGGGGAGGAGGAGGGCGCTGCCAGATCAGCCTGGAGTACTCTTACGCTGAGCTCCAGCAGGACATTCGCGGCCGCGCGAACTGGGGACCTGCTTGCGGCTGGCTTGGCGCACTGATGGTGTGCGATCCTGGTGCATAAGGAGATAGCGGGGAGTAAGAGGGTTAAGGGGGCTGAGGAGGTTGATGAGGGTTGAGATGGCGGATGAGGAGTTTCGCGGGTGAGTTTTGACGAGGACGGAGAGGACGAGTTGGACGAGGAGTTGGCCCAGAGCACACTCAGGATGCAGTAGCGATGCCGAAATTAGCTTGGCGAAGGACCCAGCCATGTGCAGGTGTGAGAACCGCAGTTGTAAATACCGTCTTCGGTGGAGGTTCCTATGGGGCCACGAAGCGTGTGAGGGGTGTGCCGAAATGCGGGGGGGGGAGGGGTATGCAGGCGGGGGCACTGGAGCCTTCGGTGGAGCTCCCTATGGGGCCCCGAAACGTGTGGGGTGTGTGTGCCGAAATGAGTGTGGGGGACGCATGCGGCCGGTTGCACTCACTGGGGCCTTTGGTGGATCTCCCTCTGGGACCACGAAATGTGTGAGGGGTTTGCCGAAATAGGTGTGGGGGACGCATGCGGGCGGTGGCACTGGGGCCCTTGGGTGGAGCTCCCCGTGCGGCCAAGAAATGTGTGAGGAGTGTGTCGAAACGGGGCTGTCGCCCACATGCGTGCTGCGCCACTGGGGCCTTAGCTGGAGCTCTCTGCCGACCCACGAAACGTGTGACGGGTGTGCCGGAAAGGGGGTGTCGCCCACATGCGGGCTGCGCCATTGGGGTCTCAGGTGGAGCTCCCTGTGGGGCCACGAAACGTGTGAGGGGTGTGCCGAAACGAGGGTGACAATGCTGATGATGAGAGGAAAAGGGAGGGGGAGGAGGAAGGAAGGAGGAAGAGACGCGGGATCTATTTGTTCAAAGCGAGGACCCGGCACCACATGATGGCTGAAAACAAAACGTCCTCTCGTCTTCGCAAGCCCCATACTGCCTAAAAACCTTGCTTTTCACCGCGGGACGCGTCCCCCTTGAAAGACGAGCGTCTCGTGGGCCGGCCTTTCACCGGAGAGCCCCATTTCGAACACGAGCCGCCTCCATCCTGTTCTTCTATACGTAGGCAAGTAATCACCGAGCGCGTCCCGCTACTCACAAAGTGCCTACTCCAAACGTCCGAGAAGAACATACATTCCTGTATGTAATGGATCGTAGACCCGCCCGCGGCGGATCCAGGCGATGTGCGAGTAGTCAATTCTGCGAGTAGTGGAACGCGCTCGTCTAAGCAAGGCCGTCAAGTTCAGCTCTGCAGACTTGCCACAGTGTTTGGCCTGTGGCAGCAAAGATGGAGGGAGTGTCAAGGGGGGGCACCATTTTGACGAGGAGCCGTCGTACATGTGTGGCACTGAAGCGCTGCCTGAAGCTTGCGGTCTTGAGACTCGAGGAGGACTTAAGCGCTACCCCATAGTTCAACAGGAGCCGCTTTCAGTTCGTGGGCATGTTTTGATTATGTGCCAGCGTGGACCCACTCAGTGAGCTCTTACGCTGGAGGTGTGCTTCTACATTCGCAACGCTTTGCGCATCCCCATCAGCGTTCTGCCTGCCCGCTTTCGGCCAGGAGAGCTGCTTGCAGCTTGGCGCCGGCAGGGCGACTTCTCCGTTGCACTCGCACTGCGGTCTGTTTCACTTCGGTGTGGCTGGCGCCTATGTTCGGCGGCGGGCGCGGGGGGGAAATGAGAAGGGGCGGGACTTCCGAGGCTTCTGAGAAGTTTCTGGACTTCTGAGAGGGCTTCTGAGAAGTTCTGCCTGTGTTCGAAACAGGCCAGGGAGACGTCTCAGAAGCCCCCCGGACTTCCAAGAAGTCCCGCGGCCCTCTGAGAAGGCCTTCTCCTTCTCATTTCCCCCCTGGGCTCGTCGCCTATATGTGCGTTCGCCTTAATGCGGAGCATTTTGCTCAGTGCGTGTGCACACCACGCCTTCTTGCGAATTCGCCCAGTTCGCGTCCCAGACTTTGCTCTCGCCGCCTGACCGTCGTCTCGCGGCCGCGACCGAGCAAAAACATATCCCCTATCAGCCCATCCGTGGGCGATGCCGAGGAGAGCTGCCCTTCTCGAGGGGGGGTGGGCGCGGCATCGTCGGGGTACCTCGGGAAGCCTCCGTGGACCAGAGGCCCCTCGGATACCTCCTTGGGGCGGCTGGGGTGTCTCTTTTCGGGCCGCTCGGGGGCCTCTTCTCGGCCTCTTGGGGTCTTGGGACCTCTTTGCGGCCTCTTGGGGCCCTTTTGGGGGCTTTCTTAGTGGCTTTTCGGGTCATCTCAGGGCCTCCTGGAAGCTACCAATCAGAGAAGGTGGCGGCGTGGATTAGCCTGGTCTCCCCAGCGAGCCGAAGCTGGCCCAACACATTTCGGGGATAATCCATGATAGTGCGTTTCTCGCTGAGGCCGTTTTGGACGCTCTGACCGCTCGCGACCTCCTCCCCGGACCCATGGGGAGGATTTCCCCTGACAGGGCGGGTGGACCCCTCCTGTCGTCGGAAGGGCACGACACTCGGGTGTGCCAGGGGTACCCGCGCTCCAAGACGACTTGAAGAGGCGTTCCAGAAGGTCCAGGATTGTCCAGGACCGCTCGAATACGCCGGAGACGGCCTCAAGATGGCCCAAGAGGCTCCCGAGGCGTTCCAAGAAGACCTGCAGGATATCACAAATATGCACACATCCCATTCCCTTCGGAACTCGTACATTGTCAGCATGAGGGGCTGAGGAGGTGCCTGGGAGAAACCCAAGGCAGCCCCCGAGGGAGGCCCCGCAGACGCCCCAAAGATTCCCCCAAGACGGGCCCAAGAGGGCCCCAAGAAGGCCCCCGACCCTTCCAAGTCGCGAACATACTAACATAACCAGGACAATGCCCACACGCCCAGGAGAGGTTGAGCCCTTCAGATGCCGAAAAGGCCAATCCTGCCCCCCAAAGACGGACCCCGAGGCCCCGAAGACGCTCACAAGACGGGCCCAGGAGGGCCCCAAGATGGCCCCAGACCCTTCCACGTTGCCGTGCCTGCCGTGCGGATCGGGCCTGGCGTGCATGTCTGCTGTGCTGGTCTGCCGTAATGCTATGCCGGCGCTGAGCTGCACTGCTGGTAGGCACTTGCCTTGTGCATGCTCTCTTACTCCTTTGTCTCTCTCCCTCGTCTGTCTCGTTCGCGCTGTGTCTCGGCCTTGTGTGCCCTGTTCACTTGAACATCATGGCTTGGGCAACGGAGGGAGTCCTGCGGCGTGGTGAAGGAAGGGGTAGACCCCTCCCCGAAGGGGAGGAAGTGGGGATGATGGACAAGGAAGTGCGCCAAACCACCTCCGCCCAGCGGACAGGAGGAATTATGTATACAGAGCAATGTATGTGCCGCATGCGATATGGTGTAAGGTATGCGTTGCAAGCTACGTTGTGCAAGCAATATGGTGCGCTATTTGCGGTGCGTGACTTTTGGTGCAAGCTGTGGGGTGCATTCTGTGTGGTACGATCTATGGGGTGCGATCAGCTTTTGCCAGCTCGTGCGTCGTCAACTCCACTGCTCGCGCAATCATCCCGCCCTCCCGCCCGCAGATTGGCTTGCAGATCCAGTGCGGCGGCGATTGTGATGGCTGCCTCGCCATGGCTGGCGCACCTCTGTGGCCGCGCTGGCGCGCGCAGGCTCGCGCGCAGCGACCAACCTCGGGCATGCCGTCGTCTTTGCCAGCCTCGGGCAGGCCGTCCTGCCGCTCTTCCTTGGGGCGCCTGCCGGGGCCTCGAGCCTCCTCCTCGCTCGAACCGAGCGCCCAGAGGCAGCCTGCGAGGCACGGCGCGTGCCTCGCAGGCCTCGCAGGGCCTGGTGGAGCCACGTGCCTGGCTCCGACAGGCCGGGCCCCCAGCTCTTCGCGGGGCCCCCCGAACATCTCCCGAGCCGAAGGAGCGAAGAGATCGCCAGGGGCCCAACCTGCGGGCTCTGCTCGGGTGCCTACCACGGGCAGAAGCAGCTTGGTTCCTCCTGCCCAGCCCCGCTAGCGCCACCCTGGCCCCGAGGCAGGTGGACCTGAGGCCGCGGGCACCCTGGGAGACTCTAGGCCTCCTAGATGGGGTCGGACCCTCCCCGAAGGGAAGAGGGGTCGTGGAAGATGAAAGCAAGAGAACCTTAGTGTCAGTATTGATTGGGGAACGGGCAAGGACCCTTAGTGCAAGCACTGACTTTTAGAGCGAACATGCGCAATACGCGTGCGCGCGCGCGCGCGCGTGTGTGTGTGTGTGTGTGTTTGTGTATGCGTGTGTGTGTGTGTGTGTGTGTGTGTGTGTGTGTGTGTGTGTGTGTGTGTGTGTGTCTGTAGAATTTCGTGATCGACCAGCGGCTGGCCTCATAGAAGGCATGGATAGCCCCTCATCTCAGTGTAACTGCGACGGACGCTTGAGCCTCTGGCGGCCCTGTCATGCTACTTCCGAACAGACTGCGAAAATATCGTTCTATGTCTAGCTATGATCAGTGTGCCTGGCCAGCCTTCCCCGTGCTCACTCGAGGCTCTGAATGCGGGTGGGTGAGCCTAGACTGTATGCAGCCGTGGGCCCCGGTGCTCCCTACTCTTGTCTGCTCTGGCCCCAGGGCACGAAAACGGCGTCCTGACGCCCAAAGCGGCGAGTCGAAAAACAGAAGTGGCGTCTGGCGATCGGCGTGAGAGCCGCAGGGCAATCTACAGCGGCCGCCGGATTTCGCTCCAAACGCAGCCTTCCAATTTCAGCGACCCGTTGAATCGGCTTTTGCGACTGGCTGGGTTTCGGTGCGACTCGACGGCGAAAAAACGGAAGCGGCGAACAATCTCTGGCTCGATGCTCCCGAGTCGCCACAGGAGTGCGTCTCCCGAGGTCTCCGCGGACGTCCCCCCGAGGCGCCCCGAGACGTGCGGAGGCCCCTGGAGGCATCCGGGGACCAGGCAGGGACTGGAAACAATCGTGGGGCCATGCCCAGGTCGCGGGCTGCGGCTCGCAGGCCAGAAGAGGGGACGTAGGGGCTGTTTGCATCGAAGTCCAAGCTGCCGTTCGCTCAGACGTTGCACTCGTGGCCCTATAGGAAATGTTCATGAACCCCAATCCTCGTCGTCGTCGGCACGGGATCGGGGAAAACAAGTCGAGGAAAAAAAACCTGTCGGAGCCCCGTTCGGATTTTTTCTGGATCGGCTCTGGAGCCCCCTGGCGGCGCCTCCGGCGCCGCCCCCGGCGCGCTCCACGCGCCGGGGAGGGGGGTCCAGCGCTGGTCCGAGAAGTCCGCGCGGAGCTCGGAAAGTTGGTGTCCGTGCCACTCTTCGCCTTGCCTGTTTTTCTTCCCCTGCCAGAGGGGCTGTCTCAAGGGAGGACAAGCCACCCCGACAACTGGCGTCTACTAAACGGCCCTGGGCGTTTACTGAACAGCCCTGCCCTGTTCGATTTCCTCCTGGGGTGCGTTTGCCAAACGGCTTCACCCGTCGGGGTGCTTGCCATGGGGGTGGATTCTCTGCTCTCTCCTGTCCTCCCCCTGGCAGCCCGGGCGGCGCAAGGCGACCCGCTGCTTCGACGCCACCACTCGACTGGGCCACGGGTCCTTCGGCGGGGTGCCCCGCGCCCTCCGCCGTCGCAGCGAGGGGCCATCGTTGAGTGGGGCCTGTCCCTCTACAGGAGGAAAATTCAAACTAGTTAACAAATAGTCTGGGGACGATTTTTGTCAGTTTTTTTGCGCATCTCCTGACTATTTTAGTTTTTCCGTCCAAAATCCTCTGTAGGGGGACATGCCCGACCTGAGGGCAGCCGAGGTTGACAGGATCCCCTCCCTGCCAGGTCGGCTGGCCAATTCTTGGGGCTTCGCGTGTCCCCACCGGCATCTGTCGCTGTGCCCCAGCCTCGGTCATACCGCCCTCTGGACTTCTCCTTGCGGGCCGCGAATCAAAAATGTGTCCTCACCGGCCCATCCGCGAGCGATCGCAGGGAGGAAGGAGGGACGGAACGGACGAGGACAAGGCAGCCTTTGCGGATACGTCGCTGTGAGATGTTCTTGGAGGACTATTGGGATACGTCCCTTTTGGGGTCCCCGTGGGGGCACTCCCTTCGGGTTGACCCAACAGGGGGTTCAGGGACAAGGGGGTGGTGCAATAGATTCGGTGCAATAGATTTGTGGGGGTTGCAATACATGTGGGGCGTGCAATACATTTCTGGGGCGCACATGTATTGCTGGATATTCGCGTGCAATGCATTACTCGCACTGCAATGCCATACAATTCCCCAGAGCAATACATTTGCAATACAATTGCCCCAAATCTATTGCACCACCCCCTTTCAGCTGGACCCCCTTTTGAGCCATCCAAAAGCCAGGCCGATCAGCGGCTTGCCCTTGTCGGTTCTCGAGAGGTAAGCGGCGGCCGCAGCTCTTCTGCAGCCTGCGCCCGCCGCGTCTGGTACCCAGAGGGGGGCTGCGCGGAGGGGGCTCCTGTCCACCGCCGAGGAGGGTGCCCGCACTGGGCGCCCGTCCATCTGGCGATCGCAAACATGGATCAAGGGGGCGTGGATCAGCGACGGGTCCCGTTTCCGTGGGAAATCGAGGATTTCCGCCGCCGAGCGAGGCGCCCCCGGCCCCCTTTTGGGGAGGGCACCTCCCCCGATCCATGGATTTGGCGACCGCGCGCCAAATCCATGGATCGCTAATCTATGTTTGCGCGCCCCCGACTTTTGCACTTCCTCTGGCCTCGCGTCTGCTGCCGTTGCGCGTATGCGTTCTTGTCGTGCTGCTCCACCTTGTCGTCGACCTCCGTGTTGAACATTCGGTGGTGCGGATGAAGCGCGAGCACCCCGACGCGCAGGAGGAAGAGGAGCAGGAGGGAACAAGTATACACAGGCACAAACAAAAGTAACTTCCTGAGAACGCATGGGAAAGTGTGGGAGGTGGAGGGGAAGATGACAATCAAGAACGCATGGAAAACATGGGGAATCCTTGAACTTGTGTCTATTCATATGTGTCTCCCTGAGTCCCTCCAGAGGAGGAGGAGGCGGATGAGGAGGAGGAGGAGGAGGAGGAGGAGGAGGAGGAGGAGGGGGAGGAGGGGAGGAGGAGCAGGAGCAGGAGCAGGAGCAGGAACAGGAGCAGCAGGAGAAGGAGGAAGAAGTGGAGGAGGAGGGGGAGGAGGGGGAGGAAGAGGAGGAGGGGGAGGGGGGAGGAGGAACACGGGGAGGAGAGACGCAGGGTAAATCTAGGTTCTTCGCCTCGGCGCGGTCGCTGTGGTGGTGGTGCTGGTCGTCGTCGTCGCTGTCGCTGTTGCTGTCGCTGTCGCTGTCGTCGTCGTCATCTTCTGCCCCTCGCGTTTCGAATTCCGCTGTCAGGAGTTGACAAAGCATCGCCATCAGTACCACCATCAGTGTCGGCGACGTCATCTTATCGCCGTCGTCATCCTTACCGTCATCATCGCTCATCGTCGTGCGCGTTGTGCGGAGCAGCGGCGGGAGCCCCAGGGCTGGGAGTGGTCGGCGATGCAGGATCGAGGCTTGCAGGCCTTCGGCTTCTGCTTGGCCTCGTGGAGCGCCCTCGTGGCCACGGCTGTGCGCAGCTCGAACAGCCGGCTGGGGCACTGTGCGGAAGGGCTGCAGGGATTGACTCGAGCGCTGGAGTGGCAGACCCGTCCCTCCAGGCGTCGTGAAACAGAACGTCGCGGCGAACGTTTCTCTGGCCCTGCGGCCTCCGGGTACCCGCTTCGGGCTCCGAGGCCATCGAAGAACGGCCCGCGACGAGCACTGTCCTTCGGGAAGAGGCCCAAGCACGAGTTCGGAGCACCCAGTCTTCGTGGGAACCTGTTGGGGCCCTCTCGGAGCTCTCTGAGGCCGTCCCCGGCGCCACCTCGAAGCCTCTCAGGCCGACCTGCGGGCGAAGAGGCGGAAGAGGCCACAAGCATGACACCAGCACGCTCTTTCTGGTTCATCGCTGGCTCGAGCCGCACCGCCGACTCCCCGAGGAGATCCCCGGGGTCGGTGGAAGTGGCAGATGTCTGCCACCGGTTGGCGTCCTAGGGGCCGGCGGAGCGTGTTAGAGAGGGGACCCATGCCAAGAAACACCCTGCTTGCCTCCAGGGTGCCCTGGGTTTCTTGGGTTCCCATGGCTTTGCCATGGAAAGCGTGACGCTCCCACACCAAAGATCGGTGGACGCTCTGGGGACTCCGGGTTGGGTCTCTTGTGGAAGGTTTCTTGTGGTCGGACTTTCACTGTACACCTTAGGCGATGGTTAAGAAAACTTAAATTTTCGGCCAGAGTCTCGATTATTCTTAATGTTTCAATGTAAATCCTAAGATTCGAATGGGAATTTTGGGTTTTTATTCAAGTTCTGAGACTACGAATTTCTTAACCCATGATTTCTTAAGCATTTCGCAGGGTGTAGAGAGGGAGAGGCAGCAAGAGGGTGATTGTGGGGAGGACGGTTTCCGCCCCCTCGTCTCCCCTTTTCTCGCCGGGCAGCAACGCCTGCCAGCGAGCAGCGTGGCGCTTCTCAGGACGATGTTGCCGGCCTCCGGGCACCGGTGCGGTGCCTGGCGCAGCCGACTAGTTGGCTGGTTCTCGGAGGCCCTCCCTGCCATGGCCCCGATCAAGAACAAGAAAGGACGGTTTCCAAGGTGGTGGGGCACGGGCGTGGTGGGGGTGGGGATGCAGGGGATGGGGCCCTTGGGATGGCTTTTGGGGCGCTGCTTGGGTCCCATGGCGCTTTTGGGAGACCTCTCGGGAGCCGCTCCGAGATGTCTGGGGTCGTGCCCGGGTCCTCTTGGGCCGCCTTCGGGCCTCCTTGTGCTTGCCTTCCTTGCGTTGCTCGAGTTGTTCTACGTGGAGGTGGTGTCGGCCGCACCCGTCCTGTGGTGAAACCTCGCGAGGAGGCCTCGTGGCCCTTCTTGGGCGCCAGGGGGCTCGGGCTCGGGAGCACACCACAACCATGTCCAAATATCAGATAGACTGTCTTGTTTAGATCACTTGCGTGATTTGGGCACGCAGACCCTGGTGTCTTGGGTCCCTCCTCCTCCCTCCTCCTCCTCCTCCGCCCTTTTCCTTCTCCTCCTTCTCCTCCTCCTCCTCCCGCTCCTTCCACTCCTCCTCCTGCTCCTCCTCCTGCTCCTCCTCCTGCTGCTCCTCCTGCTCCTCCTCCCTCCTCCTCCTCGTCCTCGTCCTCCTCGTCCTCGGGATCAGCGCGTTCAGCCTGCGTCCATGGCCGCCCACGACGCCCTCCCACTGCCTAGCAGGCCAGCGCTCCGGCACACACGCACAAAAACTTCGTGCTCTGAGACTGCTCCGCCGCCCGCGATCTTGCTCGCTCCCCGCCCGCGATCTTTCCGCTCCCCGCTGCGTCCGATCGGGCCCCGCAGTGCCCCTCGGTTGCCTCCGACAGGGGCTTGGCGCCAGGCCGCAGCTCAGAGGAGGAAAAGGTACCCATACCTCTACCCCCCCGCCCGTGTTCCCCTTTCTGGGCCTCCTGGGCGGCCCTCGTCGCCACCGCTGGATTTGCGCCTCGAAGTCCTGGTCAGAACGCACCTCAGGAGAGGTCCAGGGGAGTAGCGGTATTGGTACCTTTTGGTCTCCCCAGCTGCGACGGCAAAAAGCGTGGATTTCGGACGCTGGCCGGTGGCGGCGGGGGCGGCCGCGCTGGGGTTCGCCGCGGACCGCTCCGCGGCAGCGGTGCGGTGCCGTCCGCCGGCCCGCGGCTGAGCAAGCTCGAAGATGTCGCGGGGGCGTTGGGGGCATCCGTTGTCTCCGTTGTCTTCGCCCTGCGTTTCTCTCCTCCTCGTCGTCCTCGTTCTCCTCTCCGTCTCGTGTTTCCCCGTGCCCTGGGTGTGGGCTTCTTGTTATTCGTGCCGCGCCCCCGCCTCCTTCACTCACCCGCCTCCTTGCCTATATGCACTCATGGTCAGACTCGCTCGCGCCCGCTTGCTCGCGTTCGTGCTTACTCACGCACGCCCGCTCACATTCGGACGCATTCGCCGTCGGACTCACGCATGCACAGATTCACTCAGACTCGGACTCAGTCGCGCTCTTGTTCGGCGGCGCTCACAATGTGGACGGCGCGAGGGGGGGACCTCCTAAGAAGGCGGGGAATTGGTCGGAAAGTAGGGGCCTTCCTACAAGGGGCACCGGTGCTTCCTAAGACGGCTTCTTAGAGCCGGGAGGGCTTCTGAGAACCCTCCTCTTCTTCTTCCTCCTCCTCCTCCTCCTCCTCCACCCACCCCTCCTCCTATCCCTCCCCCTCCCCCTCCTCCTCCCCCTTCCTTCTCCTCCTCCTCCTCCTCATCCTCTTCCTCCTCCTCCTCCTCCTGCTCCTCCTCCTCCTGCTCCTCCTCCTCCTCCTCTTCCTCCTCCTCTTCCTCCTCCTCCACCTCATCCTCTCCTCTTTCTTCTCCTCCCCCTCCTCGTCGCCCCAAGTGGTCCATCCAGGTGTTCCGCGGCATCCAGAGGGACGGCACGGAGGTGGCCGTCAAGGCCGCCGCTCCTCTGCCCGACGGCCACGCCGCCTGCGGAGAGGGGCCACACTGGGCGAGCCTCGGAGCGTCCAGTGTGGTGCAGTAGGACGGGGGAGGAGGACGGGTGAAGGAGGGGGGGGGTGGAGGCAAAGGGAGGTGGATGATGACAGGGTGATGATGCTGCTGCTGATGATGGTGGTGGTTGAGGAGGAGGAGGAAGAGGACGAGCGGGATGATGATGATGATGATGATGCTGCTGCTGATGATGATGATGATGCTGATGCTGATAATGATGATGATGCTGCTGATGATGATTCTGCTGATGGTGATGGTGACGATGCTGCTGATGGTGGTGGTGGTGATGATGATGACGATGATGCTGATGCTGCTGCTCATGATGATGCTGATGGTGGTGGTGGTGATGATAATGATGATTATGCTGCTCCTGATGGTTCTGATGATTAACATGATGATGATTATGATGATGATAATGATAATGACCATGATGATGCTGATGCTGATGATGATGGTGATGATGATGTTGCTGCTGATGATGGTAATGATGCTGATGATTCTGATGATGATGACCGTTCTGATGATGTTGATGATGATTGATGACTGATGATGATGGTGATTATGATGATGATCATGATGATGCTGTTGCTAATGAGGATGCTGATGATACTGATTGATATGATGATGCTGCAGCTGATGATGCTGGTGATGCTTATGATGATGCTTATGATTATGCTGCTGCTGCTGCTGCTGCTGCTGCTGCTGATGATGATGATGATGATGATGATGATGATGATGATGACGATGAGGATGATGATGATGATGATGATGATGATGATGATGATGCTGAGGGGGAGGAGGAGGTTGATGATGATGAGGAGGAGGAGGACGAGGAGGATGAGGATGAGGATGATAATGAGGATGAGGATGAGGATGAGGATGATAATGAGGATGAGGATGAGGAGGAGGAGGAGGAGGAGGAGGATGAAAAGGACGAGGTGGAGGAGTAAGAGGAAGAGGATTTGTGGGATGAAGATCAGGAGGAGGAGGAGGCGAAGGAGGAAGAGGAGGAGGAGGAGGAGGAACAGGAAGTGGAGGAGGATGAGGCGGAGGAGCAGGAGCAGGAGCAGGAGGAGGGGAGGAAACGGAATCGAAGTCGGAGTCGGAGTCGGAGTCGGAGGGGGAGGAGGAGGAGGAGGAGGAGGAGGAGGAGGAGGAGGAGGAGCAGGAGGAGGAGGAGGGGGAGGCGGAGGAGGAGGAGAAAGAGGAGGAGGAGGGGGAGGAGGAGGAATAATAATAAGACGAACAATAATATTCATAATGCCAATAACAAGAACATGACGAATCATAGTTCGAAGGGTGATAATCTTAGTGCTAGTAGGATCGCTGTTTATACCAAGACGAACACACATCCGAATAATGATGATGATATTAATAATAATGATAAGATGATTAATCATGATACTAATGATAAGCACACTCAGTCATATTTTAACACGTATGAGAATAGCAACACTACTAATACGAATACGAGGAAGACTACACATAGTGCTACTAGAAATGTCAAGAGTAACCATACGATGACGACTAATACTATCAATCATAATAGTAGTGGTATTAACATTTTGAGTACCAATAATCATAAGACGCGGAGACGAGTAATACTAACATTACTTATACGAGTGATTAAACGACGAATGAGAACACGACTGACATACACATATCAGTCATAACACCAAGTATACTAATACTAATAAGGACATAAAGCACATGTACTAGTAGTATTATTACTATTAACACCCATGTTGAACCAATCGTATTAACAATATCAATATTCAGAATAATACGAATAAGCATGCTTTACATACGAATGATACTAACACAACGAATGATCATAGTAATGACCAACATGTGAAGACTAATACTAACAGTAATACGAATAATACTGATCTTAATCATAAGACGAAAAATAATGTTACTATTGCTAGTAATGATAAACAGAGGAGGAGGTGGAGGAGAAGCAGGACGACGAGGAGGACGAGGTGGAGGAGTAAGAGGAAGAGGACGAGCGGGAGGAAGGTAAGGAGGAGGAGGAGGAGAGAGAGGAAGAGGAGGAGGAGGAGGAGGAGAAGGATTGGATCGGGTCGGCTGGTCACGAAGGAAGCATCAAACCCCTACTTCCGGTCGAGCTCAGAGTTCAATCGTGCTCGACGGTCGGGTTTGGCCCCTTACAGGGGCCAGGAAAAGTTCAGGGAGTCAAGCCCCGAAACCGAGACACATACAGGAGGAGCACACAGACGAATTAAAAACTCCAGTGGGCCGTGTCCTCTCTCCAACCCCCGCCGACCCAAAGAAAGCCACCCTAGACAGCGACCTGACACAATTCGTGCGCCAGAGCGAGCGAACGTGAGCGTGAGGACGGGAGAGAGGAGGTCAAACGAGGAAGACATGAGCTTGTATAGATCAAGCAAGCGCGGAAAAAAAGACGTTCGCCTACGTTATGAACGAAACGACGGCGTTGCCCTCCGAACCTGCCTCGGGGGGCCATCATTCGCAGATGGTTCCTCGAGAAGGGGAACTCCTGAGCGAACAAGAAACACTACCCCAAATAACCTCCCCCAGCCAACCAACCCCAAACTAACCGAGAGAGGTACCCACTTGCCACCCAGAGGTGCAAACCACGGTGTCGGGATGAAGGAGACCCACGGCGGAGAGGAGGGGGTGGGGACCGCCCCCCCTTGAGGAGACGTGGTCGAGCTCAACACTTCTTCTATTTCTCGCCATGCCCGCCGCCCGCCTGGATGTCCAAGGCTTTCTGGCGGTTGGGCAAGGCGCCTGACTTGCTTCCCGCGGCCCGCCGCGGGCCACTTACGCCACGGGTGGAGCGCCCGGCGGCCTGCGCAGGAGAAGGGGGGAACGCCCCTAACGGAACGAGCAGGTTTGGGCCAGATGGAAAAGGCACCGCACACAACGCCAAGAAAAACAGGCAACAGGGTATACAATGACAAACCTGGAGCCGATGCGAAAGTGTATTGAGACGATGAATATGCTCCATGGGGGAGACGGCGACCGATGCCCCTAATTGGATCAACAGGTTTGGGCATCCTGGACTGAAGTTCGAATTGAGGCAACGGGAGAAGTCGGACAACCAATTCCGATGCGGTAGCACATGAATGAAACCGATTATGGGGACTACATAGAGTGACGAGCGAACGGGGAACTCCAAGGGGGAAGGAAGCAGGATGACCACTTCATAAACTCAGCTTGGTGATGCTGCCCCAGTTCACTGCCCTTGCCGAGGCGACCCAGTGAAAACATGCGGAAACTCTCAGGCGCCCTTGGCGAGGCGCTGGGCTCACGGCTCCTGTTCAGCTGACAGCAAGAGGGGGATCCAGCTCCCTTTGCAACGAACTCCGTTGCCCAGCCTGCACGGCCTGTCTCATTTCCAAAGGCCGCCAGCCGCGCGCTTACCACAGCAAACGCACTGCTGCACATCAGATGGTTTGCGCTGCGAGCAGTGGTAGCTGCCGCTGTTGCTTCCGATGACAGGCCATCTATGACATGAGCTACAAGTTGACGGGACCATAGATAATCTATCCACCTGTGACGGTTTACAATGATGGCGCTCACTTGTGGCCTGTCTAAGGGAAGAAACATCAATTGGAAAAAGGAGGACGTAATTCTGGTGGAAGCGTGCCGCATTCGCACGCTTTGACAAAGGAGTGGCCAACTCATAGAGCTTGTCTAAGTGCGCTCAATGCGCCATTTTGCTAGTCAGCGGAAGGGTCTTTCTGAGAATGGGCCGAAGGGAAGCTGTCGACTCTCCCCTTCCAGGACTTACTGGTTGGCAAATGAAGCGAGGAGGAGGAGGAGGAGGAGGATCGCTTCCCTATTGAATTGGAGCTCCCATCCTACTTTCGACGAAGATGATTTGCCAGATCACCGAAACAACGCCGAGGGCAGCGCGAACGCGAATGAGGGAGTCCCACGGGGGCAGGCGAGGGTTGGCTTCCTGGACAAGGCCCGCCGGGGGGCCTCGGCACCACACCTCCATTCGCCCTGCCTCAGGATGTTCATGTCGTCCTTGTCTGCCCTCATGGCTAAACCTGGCCCATCTATTGAGCCGACGGTTTGGCTGTTGCTCGCCCGGTTCCTGTGCATTACCTCCTTCAAGCTCTGGGAGAACAGGCGGAGCCTGGATATCGAACTGCCCAGGTGGAGGAGCCAGCGGAGTAGTACACGGCCAAGTTTGTCTGCTCGTCGGCGCCCGATGAGCGTGAACAGCACAAACTGGTGGCTTCAATAGAGCAAGGTTGAGAGGCAGTGTGGGAAGGAGCACTGCGCCACTTGCTCACGAAGCCACTGGCGATTGCCCCTCTGCTGCTGGCTGTTGAGAGTGTGATTGAGCCGGCGGCGGTGTAGGCAACAGGCTTTCCGCAGGCCAGTGAGACTGCATACCGCGAAGCCGCCAGCGGAAGTCTGAACCACTTGACGTGAAGATGCAGTGCGAGTTACAGGAAGGATAACGCGGCTGGCCTTGTGTAGGCCGCCGCGCTGGATTCCGTTCGCGGGAATGGCTTTAAGCGAACATCTCTCTATATATTATATATATGTGTATAAAATATACGTCTGTGTATATATGCACAGATATACACATGTTTATAAGGGGAAGCTCCTCCGCCTCTTCCGCCACTAGGGCAAGACCCGAGAGGGGAATTGGGAAATGGGGGCAGCTCGTGCATGGAGCCTTGGAGAAGGAGGAGGAGGTTTAGGAGTAGGAGGAGGAGGTGGGATAATATTATGATGGGGACGACTACGAGGACGATGACGACGACGAGGATGACGACGACAATGACGATGACAATGACGATGACGACGATGACGACGATGACGATGATGAGGATGTTGACAATGATGTTGATGATGATGATGAGGATGATGATGATGATGAGGATGATGCTGATGATGCTGATCATGATGATGATGATGATGATGATGATGATGATGATGATGATGATGATGAGCATGATGATAATGATGATGTTGCTGATGATGAGGATGCTGTTGTTGATGATGATGCTGATGCTGCGTTTGCTGCTGCTGATGATGATGTTGACGATGACGATGACGATGCTGCTGCTGATGATGATGACGCTGATGATGACGCTGATGATGATGATGATGATGATGATGATGATGATGATGAGGAGGATGAGGATGAGGATGAGGATGAGGATGAGGATGAGGATGAGGATGAGGATGATGATGATGATGATGATGATGATGATGATGATGATGATGATGATGATGATGATGATGATGATGATGATGATGATGATGATGATGATGATGATGATGATGATGATGATGATGATGATGCCGGCCGGGACCGCCACCGTTTTGACCTTCAGCCTCGGCAGACCCAATTGCCCAGCAGGGTCGACGATCATCGCATGCCTGCTAAAGGCCAGAGGCTGGTGTTTGGATCGTCGAACCCTGGAGCTTGGGGTTCCCCCTTGGCGACGGGGGTGGGGGTCCACTCGGTTGCTCCAGGGCCGAGCTGGAATTGGAGGAGCAGGAGGAGGAGGAGGAGGAGGAGGAGGTTGGAGAAGGAGGAGGAGGAGGACGAGGAGGAGGAGAAGGAGGAGCACTTTAGAGAACTTGTCATAGAGAGCTTGTCATAGAGACTAGTTGGGCATAGTGCGAGCATGTGCCGACGACGTTGGGGCTGCTGTGTATGCGATTCAATCTCTGGTGCGGCCTTACAGTTTATTTTCTGATTTTGATCGTGTGGCAGGCTTGTGCTCGAAGCCGCTCTAGTGCTATGTCGTACCCCTCTCGGGGTCCTGCACACTCGATCTTGTTGCGCAGATCTGTGCCCGGCTGCAGGAGCATGTGCCAGCATGGGCTAACTTCTGGATCGCGGGTTCCCCTTGTGCATTTAGGCTTTCGTCTGGGGCCAACGGTTGACGAGGACTGTGGCAAGCCCTGATGAGGAAATATCAGACCCGCTCCATGCTTTTGGCCGACACTGTTGCTCCTTCTATGTCACTGATTTGTCGTACGACCGTCGTGCCCTCTCAACTCTCTCCTATGTCGGCCAATTTCAGTGGCTGCCCAAGTGGCGCCAGAAGCGTGATCACGCGAACCTGGCAATGCTCTTCAGTGTTCCGCATTGCGCCCTGAGCTATGCATGCGTTTCAGCGTTCTCCGGCTTGGGAGGTCCGAAGTTCCGAAGTGCGACGTTCACACAAATTACGGCTCAAAGCCGGTGTTCTATTCCGACTTTTGCTGAACGGGCTCACATTTTCAGAGATCTCGATGAAAAGGCCCTCGAACACTTATTGTTGGTCGAGGTATGTCGCGGCCAGCTCCGCCCATCTTTTTGGAAATCGAAGCCGCTCGTACAGACTCTGAAACAAGGTTCGCCAGGGTTTGCGCCCCCCTCGAAGTGGAGGAAAGCTGGTGCCGTGGGAATTGTCGCCGAGACAGAAGCTCGCGAGTCGGGCGACAGGAAGATTCAGAGAAGGACCGCCCTCGCTCTTTTATCCTCTCCTTACCCGGACCCTTCCAAGGATCTCTTTCAGGCCCGGTTACAAAACATATTCACCGAGGTGATGCGTAAGATCCTGGATGTCCCTTGGCAGAGTGTTCAGTCTAAATTAAAAAAGATCATTGGATCCTGGGCGAGTTCGATTCTCAAACATTTAGGCGGGGATTGGATTACAGCAGCTAGGTTCCACGGGTCCGACAACGGAACCCCTGGCCTTTTTTTATGTTGGCTTGGGTGCCAGGACCCCTATTCCATTCGCCATTACTTACAGTCTAGCAAGTTCTAGCGTCTCTTACCTCTTGCTCTTCGTCGTCCGCTTCCCTCGTCCGCCGCTGAGCTTTTCGGCCTCTCGCCTCCCTCCTTCGACTCTCTCGCCATGCGAGCGGCCGCTTTCCATTCGTTCAAGCATGTCAGTAATCTCCCGCACGATGTTTCAGAACTTCCGTTCGAGTGTGCCTCTTAGGTACACCTTAGGTGATGCTTAAGAAAACCTATTTTTTTGGCCAGAGTCTTGATTATTCTTTAACGTTTCAATGTAAATCCTAAGATTTCAATCGAATTTCCGGTTTTTTATTCAAGTTCTGAGACTATGAATTTCTTAACCCATGCTTTCTTGAGCATTTCGCAGGGTGTAATCTCCCGCACGATGTTTCAGAACTTCCGTTCTCCCGCACGATGTTTCAGAACTTCTCCTCCTCCTCCTCCTCCTCCTCCTCCTCCTCCTCCTCCCGTTCGAGTGTGCCTCTCAGGTAGTCCCTCGGGTGAGGGTCGAGGTATGGCGCGTTTCATCTTCGAGCTGGCGACAGGACCTGCGGCGCCGAGCCACATCCCAAGAAACAGAGAGGAGGAAGAGGAGGAGGAGGAGGAGGAGGAGGAGGAGGAGGAGGAGGAGGAGGAGGAGGAGGAGGAGGAGGAGGAGGAGGAGGAGGAGGAGGAGGAAGTAAGAGGGAAGAGGACGACGAAGAAGAGGGAGGAGGGAACATGGAGGAGGAACGTCTTCCGAAGCCGCCACCGCACTTCCCAACACCCCTCGAAGACACTGGCACAACTCGTCCGCCTCCCCCTTCTTATCTTCTCCTTCCCCCGTTCCCCCTCCCTTCATTTTCACTGTCCCCCTTCTTCCTCAGAGGCCAACACGAAAGGACGCTAAACGCCAACATCATCGATGCATGGTTCTCCTCTGTTCCTGCTCCTCCGCCTCCGCATTTTCTCGTGACGCGGATCCCCAAGGAGCTCAACCTCTTCAAAGGTTGTCTTTCTGCTCTGCTTCGTGCATCGTGTGGCTGTTTGACACTTCCCCGGCGGACGGACATTGCCCCTCCTCCTCCTTCTCCTCCTCCTCCTCCTACTCCTCCTCCTCCTCCTCCTCCTCCTCCTCCTCCTCCCCCTCCTCCCCCTCCCCCTCCTCCTTCTCCTCCTCCTCCGCCTCTAGGGAAGCCCGCCGTCATGATTTGATTCACGACGCGGCGGGTCTGGGCCCTCCCAGTCACCCTTGACCTTCCAGAGCGCTCAGAGGCGGCTCTTCAGACTCGTGGGCCTACCATTCGGTCGGGCATGTCCTCTTACAGGAGGAACATTTGGAAGTAGTGCAAAAATACTCTGGGGATGAGTTTTTGATTATTTTTTGGCTCAGTGGGAGTATTCTTTGTCAATTTTTTATGTTTCTTCCAAAAACCCCCTGTAGGGGGACACGTCCGACTTCAGCCTACCAGGATTGCTCCAAGCCTCCCGGGTGAGGCGGCCCAAGGGTCCTGCTGATGCTTTTCGGCCGTCTTGCAAGGCCAGCCCCCCCCGAGGAGGACGGAAGGACGGGGAGGCGGGAGGGCGGGACGGCGGGAGTCGGAACAGGAAGGGGAGGTCTGCGTCCGAATGGCTTGTCTGGGAGGGGGCGATGCCGGGACGGCGGGGGGCGCAAGCAGAGAGGAGCGAAGGGGCGGGCGGAAGGCCCCTCCCACTCGTCCTCGTCCTCGCTCTCCTCGGCCTGCTGCTCCTCCTCGCCCTCGGTCCTCTCTCCTCGTCCTCGCCCTCCCCCTTCCTCGCCCCTCCCGCCGCAGCCCCCCCTCCCAGGGCTCTGGCCGCCGCAGGCCCAGGGCCCCCCGGCGCCGGGCCCCCCAGGTGCTGGATGTGCCCGAGGAGGGCGGCTTCGAGGCGCGGGGTCCCTCCGGCCTTCCACGGGCCCCGCGGGGAGGGGCGGGGGATGCGTTGGGGAGGG